TGCTTACTGAGGGAGGGCAGGCTGAGTCTGTTATAGGGAGAAGGGGCTTTGAGTGGGGAAGGCAAGGAGGAGGGGAGGCATTGGGGGCAATGGGACCTCTCTGGGGGACCCAGCCCCTGAATAATGGTCTTCTCTTTATTCTGGAGATACCTTGGGTTGCAGCTACCTGAGCTGCTAGAGGATGAGACAGAATTCCTGGGTCGGCACAGGGTCAGCAGCTCTTCCCTAACATTCTTTTTCTTTTTTTGGTACTGGGGATTGAACCCAGGGATGCTCACCACCGAGCCACATCCCCAGCCCTTTCTTATATTTTATTTAGAGACAGGGTCTTGCTAAATTGCTGAGGCTGGCTTTGTACTCGCCATCCTCTTGCCTCAGTCTCCAGAGCCGCTGGGATTATAGGTGTGAACCACTGCAACAGGCCTTAACATTCTTTTGGGAAGCTCCTTTTCTTGTTCAAGTTCCCTGTAGAAAGATTGCAAGCTCCCATAAGTCAGGATCAATGTCTGGTTCAATATCTTATCTCCCAGGGCCTGAAGCAGTTCACTTTTGTTGAATCAATGGGAACACAAACATGAATGCAGCCTGCTAGTGATGCCTAGAAGTGACACAGGGTGTAGAACTAGCTAGTGATGGGATCAAGCTCTGAAGTTCTGAGCCCAGATCTGTGTTGTTATCAGATTCTTCCAAGGGCTAGATAAGGGTGGGGCAACCTACTTGGATCCCACAAGAGCAAAACTCAGAGAGGTCTAGCAAATTAGCCAGAATCACACAGTGTGTGAGCCAGGGCTAGAACCTGGAGGGTCAATTCACAGCCCAGGGTTGGAAAATGAAAATAAGAATCTTCTCCCATGGGAGCAGTGGGCAGGGGGCAGACTTGAGGAAATGCCCCAAGTACCACAGGGGAAGCAGACAGGCTTCTGCAGGCTTGGGTGAGTCCAGGGACTCCAGCCAGAATATTTCAAAAATGTTTCTCACCTTGCCCTCCTGGGGCTGTGGACCCAGGTGGCTGGGCTGGCTGCTGCCTGGGCAGAGATATTCCCCTCCCCAGTGCCTTCTGTGCTAGCTCAAAGCCTCAAGCCCGCTCCCTGCTCCTGTCCTCACCCCTGCTCCTTGAAGCACCCCTGGCTCTGGTTTGGAAATGAGGGTTCTTGGAGGCGCTGTTTGGCCTTTGGGTCGTTGAGGAGCCCCAAGTCTCCCTCTCTGGTTTCCATTATTGCAGACCATCCTCAAAATTCCTGAGTTCCACCCAAGTAGGGAAATGCGGTTCCAAGGACAGCCACCTGCCTGAAGTCAGGCAAGTTCACACCCGGTATCCTGATTCCAAGTCAGACTGCTCTAGAAGCCAGAGCATCAACTTTCCACGTTAATAGACAGCAATGAGTAGGCCAAAGACTGTGATCAGTAATAAAAATACCTAAGAACACAAGTCTCCCTCCGATTCCCTTCTTCAGGACTGGTACCTTTATTTTTGTGGGGGAGGGGTACCAGGGACTGAATTCAGGGGCACTTCACCACTGAGCCACATCCCTAGCCCTATTTTGTATTTTATTGAGACAGGGTCTCACTGAGTTGCTTAGTGCCTCGCCATTGCTGAGGCTGGCTTTGAACTTGTGATCCTCCTGCCTCAGCCTCCTGAGCTTCTGGGATTACAGGTGGGTACCTTTTCCTTGTCCTGCAGGGGGACATTTTCTTTTGGATAGGACATGCATTTGGGATGGGAATGTAGGCCACTTGGGTTTAACTCTTCCTTCTGCCATTTCCTAGCCCTGTGACTTTGAGCAAGTTCATACCACTCTGTGTCTCATTTTTTTCTCATCTGTAAAATGGAGAAACTAGTAGGTAAGAGAGAAATATGAGAATGAAGAGTTGAGCCTTGGGCTGGGGATGTGGCTCAAGCGGTAGCGCGCTCGCCTGGCACGCGTGCGGCCCGGGTTCGATCCTCAGCACCACATACCAACAAAGATGTTGTGTCTGCCGAGTACTAAAAATAAATAAATAAATAAATATTTAAAAAAAAAAAAAGAGTTGAGCCTTTTATTTTCCCACCCTGGCCATCCCCACTTATTATGTGGATTCAACCCGTGTGCTTTACCACTGAGCCCAGCCCCAGCCCTCTTTAGTCTTTATTTTGAGATAAAAAATTTATTTAAGGGTCTCACTAAGTTCTTAGGGTCCTGCTAAATTGCTGAGGTTGGCCTGAACTTGGAATCCTCTGGCCTCAGACTCCTGAGTCATTGGGATTACAGGTGTGCAGCACCACGCCTGGCTCAAGGTGCTTTCCGAATGTTCCTGTGCTCCGGCTTTTTCATTTGCAAAAATGGGAATACTAAATATAATCTGCCTTGTTGTGGGGGGTGGTTGTGGGGAGTATGTGACCAGCACCCCAATGATTTCCAGACACATTTCTTCGCCTGCAGGTGAAGTGTGCGGACTGAACTGTCCTGTCCCTCCCTCTCCCCCTTGCTCCTCCCACTGAAAGACACCTGGAGAGCGGGAGCAATATTCTTGGATTATTGGCCTCCTTTGACTCTAACCCTGAGACACTGGGCAAGTGACTCACTCTCTGGAAAGAGCAGGTGGAGAGCTCATCCCTGGCTGCCTGAGTCAGGGTTCACCAGACTTGAGCAAGCCCTGTCACCTCAGATGACTCCTGTTCTCACAAGCTCTATGCCATGTCAACTGACTAAAGTCCTAAGGTGAAAGAGAAAGGGAAAGCAAGATCCACTGTCTGTGTGCTGGGCAGAGGCCTCTACCAGTTGGGAGGTGGACTTCCCATTCCATTTCTGTCCCATCTTAGGTACATGGCTGGCTGGTCATCTGGCTTGCTTACTAATTGACAGTAAGAAGAGAAAGTAAAGAAAGTGGAAGGAGAAACAGTTTTGTGTCCTGAAATTAGCGCAGGGAGAAACAGGAGTTTCTACACTTATTTCACAAAGGCATCTTGCAGGTGGCACCTGGAAGGCAGAATTGGGCAGAAAATTTGGGCACTGATGCCAACAGGAAGTCATCTGCCTCCCCCTCCCCCAATCCTATCATTTGGGAACAAGGTTGAAATTGCATCAGAGGGTCAGGATTCCACTCAAAAGCTTCCCCAACACTTGTGTGACACTTGGCAAGTGGCTTGATCTTTTGAGTCTCAATTTCCTTGTTGTAAGATAGGGATAATATCGGAGCAGCCTGTTTATTATGAAAATTAAATAAGGAAACACAAATAGAGTGTAGGACCTGGAACACAGCAGGGGACTTATTTCATTCAACAGCAAACATCTAAGACCTACTGTGTGCCAGGGTCTCTATAACAGGGGCTGGGGGCCACATTAATAGACAGGATAAACATGGTCTCCACCTGTTACTTACAGGAGAGGAGGGGTGACAAACCTTGAATGAGAGGGACTGTGTGGAGTAATGTTTAAGCAACCGGGTTGGAATGGGTTGGACTCCCATTCATTCACTAACTGGGTGAAGTAAGCAAGCACAAGGCTTTAGACTTTGATTTACCTGCAGTAAAATGAACCTGAACAACACCCATTTCACAGAGGGGCAAGGGTTACATGAGCTGACATGTAAAACTATTCCCAGCACCAAGTAGTACACATAGGACCATCGTGGGCTGCAGGATTGTAACAGGCAGAGAGCGGAGATGATGCCAAGGCTCAGAAACATGCCATCCGGAAGGCACCTCTGTGCCTTCCCCATGGCATGTGCTCCTGAAGGAGGGAGGCCCCAAGGAAAGCGGGAGCATTGCTGAGGATGCTGGGGAGCAGGAAGAGGAGGAAGGGGTGAAGGTAAAGAGGAACAGCAAGATGGTTTAAGGAGCTGGGGCACCGAAGCCGGTCGGGGTTTGAAGGGAAAGAGTGGCAAGATGAGTTTGAAAGCTTTAAAGTGTTCCTTCCACTTAGCCCATGAGGAACCAGGCCAATCTGTCTCGTTTATTACTGAAGCCCCAGGCCTGAGTACAGAGACGGGGCGATTCCTTGCTGACTCTCATTCCCGCTAGGACTTCCAGATTCATCAGCTTTTACATCTGGTTTTTCCAAGAGTGAAGCAGGCAGGGAAAGATTTAGGAAGGACTGAAGTTAGAATCCGGACCTGGGACGCCTACATGCTCACGCCCACACTCCTTTTGGGACCCAATGGAGTCAGGTGTCCCTGGGTTTGAACTCTTGGGCAAATCATTTCTCCTGGGTGTTGTGAATATTCAGTGACATACGCGGCCATCTAGCCTGGTTCATATCATGTTCTCGGGAAATACAACTTGCACCTCTTTCCTCTCTAATCCTCATCTCCTCTCCGTCCCTTCACCAGAAGGCGGAGTGGCCAAAACCGGAGGAGGAGGGGTGTGGTTGGGAGCGGACTCCGAGGAAGCTGAGGAGAAAGTGCATTTTTAAAATGTACAGTACCGTTTGCAAAGGGACAAACTGTTCAGCCCCTAAATCAGTGTTTACGAGGTAGGGGAGTGACAGAATCCCACCCGCGGTAATCCCTCGGAACCCATAACCTGGGAAGAGGGTCCCCAGGGGTGGAGCCGGGCATCGCGACTCCGCCTAGAGGGCAGATGACACCAAGCTAGGCGCACGTGGAAGGGGAACTGCTTTCCCAGGCAGGGTCAAGCGGGGCCTCAGGCCAGGTTTAGGGACAGTGTGCGGAATAGGCTGGAGGGGGAGGTGAATTTCTGAAAATCCCAGAAAGCAGAGCCCTGGAGGCGGAGGCGGAGAAAGCCCACCGCCCTGCACTGCTAAGCGAGTGGATCTGGACTTTGGCTTAGGCCCGCGGCCACTCTAAGGAGGGTGTCCCCCACCAGTGAGCTTCAGATGGGACGCGCCCCATCTCCAACCTCCCACCCTTGCCCCTGGGCCCAATCCCACCTTCGCTCTGGCCCGTACAGCCTCCGGGAGAGCCGGGAGGCGTGGTCTGCGGGCGGCCCGCCCCTTTGATGTGCGCCGGCGCCACTGTGATTGGACAGTCGCTTGTGACGTGCGGGGACTGCGGTGGGTCCCGGTGCTGCAGCAGCCGCAGCGCCGGCAGCGGCTCGGGCTCCCGCTCCCGGGCATTTAAAGGGGACGCGGCGGCGGCCCGGGGGGATGGGGGTCAAGTGGAGGGGACGGCTCAGACGCACATCATCCACGGTCCCTCTGGACTGGAGGGACTCGTGAGCCGAAGCCAAGAAATCCGGGGGTGGATAAGACACCGCGTCCCCTTCCAATTCCCGTAAGCACCGCTTACTCCATCCTGCGCCTAAATACCTTACCTAGACCCCCTCCCCACTCCTTACACTTCAAACTCTGCCAGGACAGAGTTCTGCCGCCACTGTTCCCACGTGAGTGCTGGGCTCCGCGAGGTGGGGAGGGCTGGGGTCCCAGTGTAGGGTGGGGGCTGTGTGGAGTTTCAGGGCGCTCGCTCACGCCCGTGGCGGTGGGGGAGTCCCTGGAGCAGAGGAAAGAGTCCTCTTACGCCCCCAAGAACTTGGTGCCCCCGTGTCCCTTCTTTCCAGCTCTGGCAAAGCCATGGAATTGGTGCCCTCTTGCTCCCTGTCGCCCTCTCCCCAAGCCGCGCACCCCCCGCCCGCATTAAAGCGAAGCGCCCGCCAGCTGGGGGTGTGCCAGAGTGCCTGCTTTCCAGTCACCTCTAAAAATATCTCCCCCCACCCCACCGCAGCTGCCACCTCTCTACCCCTACCCAGTGAGGATCTCCTCTCAGCTTGTCCACCCAGGCGGGGAGAGAGCCCAGAGGTGACTCCTAGTCTCAGATTCTCACTGGCACCAATGCACGATCATTGCCCAGAAACTATCAGGACGGGGAGCTCAGAGCCTAAGGGAGCCTCCAGGGCCATAGGAGAAGCTCCAGCTGCAGTTTTCCCAGGAGGCTCAGAGACCCCTGAGTTCTAATCCTGATTCTGATGCTGTGTGATCGCCCCCTCCCCATGGGTGATGTTAGCTTGACCTCTCTGGGCCTGTTTTTCCTAGCTGCTGTTGGGGGTTGGTGAACAAGAAAGGTGGTGAAGTTGGGGGTGCTGTGTGGGGGAGGGAGGGAATTCCAGCTTTAAAATGTTAACTCTGATTTCTAGTGATATGAGACTTGTTTTGGGACAGAGAGGGCTTGGTACAGTGGGATTTCAGGAGTCCTCAACCCCATTCCCATCCTGTGTTTGCCCTTTGCAAAACTGCCCCAAAACTTTTTTTTTGGTACCAGGGATTGAACTCAGAGGCACTCCACCTCTGAGCCAGATCCCCATCCCTATTTTATATTTATTTAGAGACAGGGTCTCAATGAGTTGCTTTGGCAACTCGCTGTTACTGAGGCTGGCTTTGAACTCCCAATCCTCCTGCCTCAGCTTCCCAAACTGCTGGGATTACAGGCCTGAGCCACACAGTGCCAGGCTCCCCAAAATTTTTCCTGAGGACTTCATCTACCCACTAGAAGGGGGAATTTCAAGTTTAGGGCCCAATTTCAAAGAGGGTCCTTTTTCTTCCCCATTCCCAGGAACTCTTCCACTCTCTTCACATAGATTTAATCTTTGAGTCAAAGATAGGAGGAAGCTGGCAGGAACCTATGATCCCAGATAAATCAAGGAGTCAGGCACTAATCTTACATGGGACTAGAAATGGACTCCCTGCCACTCCCAGAAACCCTACTCTCTTCTCCCTGCTCTAGCCTGAGAGAGAAACTTAGAGATCCTGACCTCTTTTGGAGACCCTCTTGGTGACCACAAGGATTTGATCACTCAGGACAAAGCTGCGAGAGGTGAGTGAGCTTTTGGAATTTACAGGAGCCAGATTCTAACTGGGGAAGGCCCCTCTAATTGCTTTGGGTGGGGTGGGGGTGTCACAGCATGGACTATTCAGTCTCCAGGGAAGATGCTTGGCTTTCTGCTTTGAAGATGAAAAGAATCAAGGGCAATCTACCAAACAAGTGTTTAACTGATTTCCCTAAATACTATTAGATGAAAAAATGTAGCTATGCCTTTTATTATGAGAAATGAGAAGTTTTGAACATAATTAAAGATCAGAAGGATATACCAAGCCAGGCGTGGTGTTGCATATTTGTAATCCCAGCAACTCAAGGCTGCCTGGAGGATCACAAGTTCAAGGCCAGCCTGGGCAACTTAACCAGACCCCGTCTCAAAAGAAAAAGGGGTAAAGGATGTAGCTCAGTGGTAGAGCACCCTTGTGTTCAATCCCTGGTTTAAAAAAGGAATAAGAATATTCCAAAAAAGAAAGGATACACGGACAAAGTGGTGAGACCCTTTTCTGTGGGATGGAAGTTGGTCTCTGTCACTCTCTCTGGCCACCCCATCGTCTTCCTATCTTTCCTTTGCTTCTCTGTGTGCCTGACACGTGCCTATCCATGTTTGCTTTTGCAATGGGAGTGGCATCCTCTGACCTTTCTCCTTGACTCATCTAGACCCAGCAGACTTGTAATATCACCCAGGATTCTGACTGGGGAAACCCTCCCACCAGCCTGCCATTCCCTTGCCCCCCATGTCTTCCTCCCTCTCACTTTCTTCTTAACCCGTGTCTCCTTTCTCAACCTATCACACTCTTTGCCAACTGCACCATTCAGCTTTGAGCCCTCTCCCTATTCCCAATTAAAAGTTATTGGGGGAAAGTTTAAACCCATATCCTCTCCTCACTGAAATGGTAATGCACGCGTGGTCAGGGGATGGGTGGGCAGGGCATGCTATGAGATGGAAAGTCGTAGAGCCTATGTTCTGTCCCTGTATGACCCAGTCTCTGTAGAGGCCAGCAGCTTCTCCCTGCTCCCCTGGGATGGTCAGGGGAGAGTGTCACCTTGACAAAGTCAGAGGCATTTACAGTGTCATCCATTGTCACCAGCAGAGGGCAGCAAGCAGTCAGATCTTTGCTCCTGGTCTAGTCTCTTGGCTCTTAGTAGCTTTCCAGTTGTCCGACATGCCTCTCTCTGGTCTCTCACTCAACCCTTGGATGGAAGGGGTTATGGGAGCAGGGAGGAGCTGGCAGCTCTATGTGGTGTTCTTTGTAGCTGCATCGGTGTAGGCCTCAAAGAGGCCAAAGCTGGTCCCCAAAGGCATGCAGCAAAATCCAGCAGAGATTTCAACCTGACTCCTGTCCTATCTGCTGGATCCCAGACCTCTGAGAGCACTAGAGAGACCATTTCCAGATCACTTGTAGAACCCAGGGGTGTCAGCGCCCCCAGTTTTGATACAATAAATGCTGATCACTGGCCTTTCCACATCATTGTATTATTTTGGTGTGGTACTGGGGATTGAATCCAGGGATGCTTTACACTGAGCTATTTCCCCATCCTTTTCTATTTTTATATTCTACTTGTGTGTGTGTGTGTGTGTGTTACTGGGATTGAACCCAGATTTTGGCATATGCTGGGTAAGTACTCTTCTATTGAACTAAATCCCCAGTCCTTATTTATTTTGAGACAGGGTCTCGCTAAATTTCCCAGGCTTGTTTTGAACTTGTGATCCTGTTGCCTCAGCCTCCCAAATTGCTGGGATTACAGGCATGTGCCATGGTGTCTGGAGGCCCCTTACCTTTTGAGGGCACAGAGAAGATAAAGCTATGGCCAAGGGTTCATGAACCATACTCTACCCTATGTAAACAGCATGGCCTTGGGCAAGTAAGTCAACCTCTGAACCTTTATCTGCTGATCTCACCAGACTGAGTAGTAAGAGAATGAGTAAAAGTGGTTTGTAAACTATGATGTATGACCCTACATGTGTAGGGGGCAGTGATCACACTGGAGAACTGGACTCTGGACTCTGAAATATGGTTTTGAGATGCCACTGCCACTCACAGTGGCAAATCAGTTGTGTTGGTCTCTAATATAACGCCATCTGTGGCCTCTCTGGCATGCTAGGGGACTGTAAGAGGTACATCTGTAATAACCAAGGTACATCTGTAAATGCTGTGCCCATTTAAGGGCTTGCTTTTGCTGAGATCCTGGGAGTGGCTACTGGGGCTCAGCAAGAGAACAGGGCCAAGTGGGCAGCAGTGGTGGAAGCAAAGCCAGCTGACTGGGCCCAGTAAATGGACTTTTTGATTGTCAGGAGCTCTGCAGAACAGCTGGAGGCCAACAGAGTCCCTAGAGGCGGTGATGATGAGTGGGTGTCTTCCAGTTGCTGGCCTCCGATGCCTGACTAGGGTAAGTGGATCCCTCTGGGATGGGGCTTCAGCCCACATTTTCCCACTGTGGAGTGGGAGGAGCCCTATCCAGCCCCTTTCAGGCTTGCTCTCACCTCCATCTGGGCTCCACTAATCCCTGAAAGCTTCTATCCCAGGTGTGGGATACCTTACATCCTCAGCTCCAGGGATCCTGGGCTGAGACTCCCAGATGGATGTTGGTGACAGCAGAGGATGACTCTAGGGATGAGGTCAAAGGGACCATTCTGTCAGGGAGGCGAGTAACCAGGTTAAAATGAGGAGTTTAGGCTTTTGTTCTACAAGGTCTGCCAGGCCATCAACATACCAGGCAGATTAGAGAGAGGGGAAGGAAGAAACCAGACTCCATCGAGATGAATTGGGGTGGGAGGTGGGGTGAGGGAAGGCAATGTGGTGGGTATTCTGAAGCTGTACAGGATCCATTCATGCTGTCCCTCACACTTAGCTGCTGCTGGCAAACAAGGTGGCAGCGACATGCCATCGAGGGCTCTCGCTGTCTTCATTTGCTTGCCTTTCTTTGTGCCCTGACACTTCCCCTTTGCCCCCATCCTTTCCCATGCTGTCCACACACACATCACCACCACCACCATCCCTCCTTAACATGACTGGCCCAAGGTCTCACTTCCTGGACACCCCTCTCTGTCTTCCTGTTAAGCAGTCTGTCTCCACATTCCACTAGCATGACTTCCTCCTAGTCCTCCCCTCACGTGCCCACTACCTGCCCCCTCCTCCTCTGCCTTTTCAGCCACTGCTGCTCTCTTTCCTCTCCCTTACCTGTCTCCCAGGTATGCCGTGGCCTGGCGAGGGAGGCTTCTACCTTCCCAAGCCCCACTGCTTCTCCTGCTGCCCGCTTGCTTCGGACTCTGGCAGAAACCCCACCTGCTGACACGTTCCTCCCAGGGAATTGGCAAGTGATTAGTGATCAGCTGTCAGCACAGGGCTCTAAAATCCCTGGAGAAGCTCTGTCTCATCCCTGGACCCCTATCCAGAGCCATCTGTCTGGAAGCAGCTCCCAGAGAACCCCCCTGGGTCTTATGTGGTCAGTCTACCTACTTGGTAATTCCAAGGGCCCAATCCAGTTCTCTGGCCAGTGCAGAGGCCCAGGCACCTAACCCTGAGGCCTGGCACTCCATAGCTACCTGCCTAGGAGGATGCCCAAAGAACCTTCCCTGGAGCCTGGCTCCTTATTGTCCATCACAGTCCCATAAGCCATTGATCCTACAAGGACCAAAAGGAAAATAAGGAGGTTACTCCAGCGGGGTGCATGGGTAGTCCCCCTGTCCCCCAACTCTGCTTGTGTTGAGAAAGGAGGATCTATTCCTTTCACCCCCCTTTTTTCCATACCAACCACAAGGGCCACTGGAATTCTCTAAATCATTCTTGTCCAGGAACCTCCCAAAGGGACAATCCCTAGGAAGCTACTTTTCTAAATTGACCCTTGCAAACCTCATCCAGTGACCCTGGGTGAGATTAGCAGAAACAGGAACCAAAGAAACCCTTCAGGGCTAGGATGGTCCCCTGGGTGTGAATCCTAGTATGGCTAACTAAGGCACAAGAGGGTGGGCGGGGAAGGCTGGGTGGGGGTCAGCTTTGTGTACTCCTCAGAGCTTAACCAGCCTTGGGTCCTCCTCAGGTCTTGGACGTGCCAGCGCCTTTGGCCGTGGCCCGCTAACCAGCCTCTCCCTGGCCGGCTCCCGCCGCGCCCCCTCTTGCTTGTCCCTTCTTCCTCCTCCTGCTCCCCTCCCTCCTGCTCCCAGGACAGCGGGATGGCTGCTCAAGGCACACCGCGCTTCCTTTTGACCTTCGACTTCGACGAGACCATTGTGGACGAAAACAGCGACGACTCCATCGTGCGCGCTGCGCCGGGCCAGCGGCTGCCCGAGAGCCTGCGAGCCACCTACCGCGAGGGGTTCTACAACGAATACATGCAGCGCGTCTTCAAGTACCTGGGTGAGCAGGGCGTGCGGCCTCGGGACCTAAGCGCTATCTACGAGGCCATCCCCCTGTCTCCGGGTATGGGAGACTTGCTGCAGTTTGTGGCCAAGCAGGGCTCCTGCTTCGAGGTTATTCTCATCTCGGATGCCAACACCTTTGGTGTGGAGAGCGCTCTGCGCGCCGCCGGCCACCACAGCCTGTTCCGCCGCATCCTCAGCAACCCATCTGGGCCTGACGCTCAGGGACTGCTGGCGCTGCGGCCCTTCCACACGCATAGCTGCACGCGCTGCCCAGCCAACATGTGCAAGCACAAGGTGCTCAGCGACTACCTGCGCGAGCGGGCCCACGATGGTGTGCACTTCGAGCGCCTCTTCTACGTGGGCGACGGTGCGAATGATTTCTGCCCCATGGGGCTGCTGGCGGGCGGTGATGTGGCCTTCCCGCGCCGCGGCTACCCCATGCACCGCCTCATTCAGGAGGCACAGAAGGCCGAACCCAGCTCCTTCCGTGCCAGCGTGGTGCCCTGGGAAACGGCCACCGAAGTGCGCCTCCATCTGCAACAGGTGCTGAAGACGTGCTGAGCACTGCCGCTAGAGGGGGCGCCCGGGGCAAGAGCGGGGAGGAAGGGCGGGGAGGGGAAACTGGGAAAGACAAACCTAGTTTTACTACTCCCTTTCCCCTTTGGCTTTGCTATGTCCCTCCGGAAATTTCTGGAATTTCGTTCATTTGGGGGCCGGGAGAGGAGTTCTGAATGGTCCTTAACTATGCAGTTAACCCAGATCGGCTGCTGTCCCCTGCAGCAAACCGTTTAATTCTGGAGTCTGGTCCTTGGGGGAGTGGCGTGCATACCTTTTGAAAGATAGCAGTGTTTCCAAAACCCTGTGCTCTGAACTGGGAGGTGGGGGCTTCTTGACAGATAAGAAAAGGAACACCTCCCACTGCTTTAACTGCTGCCTCGGGCTGCGTAACCTCCCCTTCCCCCAGTCTTTCCTCAAGGGGGACCCAGGATTCCAAATTCCTCGGGGCACCGGACTCTCCGTGGAGACAGATGATCCTCTCTGCTGACAGCTCCAGGCCTCCTGGATCTTGCTTCAGCCCCGGAAATCTCACTATTTCTGTGCTCGCAACACCTTGCCGCCCCCCCTCCTACCCGGTCAGCACCTCTATACGGTAAAAAAGAAAAAAGGAAAAAAAAAAAGCCAGCAGGATAGTCGCCTCCTAGTGGTGGAGTGAGGTAGCACACCGTCCACCTCAGGTTAACGCCTGCCAGGGACTTCACTGCTTGCGAAGGTGTCTCCTTGCATCCCAGCCTCCTCTATGCATCAAGAGCCCAGGGACTCCACCAAAGTCGTCCTCCACGTCCCCCTCCTTCCATATGGAACAGGAAGCCATGATGTTTTTAAGCAGAGCCAGGGAAACCCAAGCCCCTTCTCCCTCTGGTGTTTGAGAACTATAAAGGAGGTGAAGGGGGACAAAGTGACTGAGATCTCTACTGCGCCGCCGTCTGAGGGTTGAAAATGAGATGTTGTTTGCTCTCAGCCTCTCTTAAGTGAGGGAGGTTGTCCCCGCTATTCAAATTGAGGAACCAAGGCTGAGTGCGCGCTCACATACACACACACACACACAGAGACCGGGAGGGAAGCACGAGCAAGGGTCTAAAGACCCAGACACTCACTGCCAAAGACTTGGTGGTCTGGTGGAAGGAACACTAATGAGGACTAATGAGGACTGAGGAGGTGGAAAGGCACTGCTACTGGGGCATTCTGCAGGGCTACAGCAGGAGCCTTAGAATTGAGTGCCTTTCAGTCCCTCCCCTCTGGTCCTCTAGCCCTGCAGGGCAGTCATCAGGTCATCAGTTTTATTCAAAGTTGGTACTTGCAGCTGGAGACCCCACTCTGCATGGATTAGGGGTCCTCTGTGGACAACATCACCAGATTCTTTGACTTCCAGTTCTTTTTCACTTGCAGTAAGTCTCTGGGTATCCTCTCTCTGTCCCTAGGACCTCTCCCCCCGCGACAATAAGGGGAAAGAAACAACACAGCTCACAGACTAAGAGGTGGCCTAATCCAGAGCTTGACTGGAGCAGGCTTTGTTCTGGGGCTCAAGACACCTGCTCCCTGCAGACCCTGGGTGGGTACAGGGAGATCCCTGAGCTGTCAGCTGCTGGGCTCCACATAATTCCCTGGGAAGAATCCAGTCCCCTCCGAGCAGACGCCCTCGCACCAGCCATCGGAGTAGCGGCGGGTGACGCAGATGACCGTGCCCTCAGAGAAGGAGAGCTCGTTGTCCTTCTGGCGGGTGTATGGGTACAGTGTCACCACTGCAGGGCAGGATGAAAGGGTGCATGAGTTGTGCCTCCTGCCCCCTCCTGCATAGAGATGGAGGGGCCAAACACTGGACTCTAGGGGAGCAACTGGGAGAGAAGGCTGCAGGGAGTAGGAGTGCCTTCCGAGCTTTCAGGCCCCCTCCCCAGCTTAGTATTCAATGCTAGACCAGCTGCTTCCTATCCAATCATCACCGGAGGGGGGACGGATAACAAGTTCATACCTTTGCAGAGGGAGGGGAGAATGCCTTTGGGGTGGGAGAATGGGGGTCAGGGCAAAAGAGGGCCGCAGGATCTGGTGCCCCTCCGTTCTAGGACTCAGGTACCTTTTTCCAAGTATGCCTCAGGGACCCAGCTGGGTTCATCCGATCCAAAGCCTGGCGGGGGTGGAGGTGGCAGCCCCAGGTCCTCTACTTCCAGAGGCGGAGGAGGGGGCAGGTCCAGGGGCAGGGGCAGCTCTGTGACAGGGAGGGAAAGCAAGGGCTGCCTCCGGAAGCCGCTGCTCCAGAGGAGGCCCAAGATCTATCCATTTCATGCTATCTCCCTCCAGGGCGCACCCATCCTCCCATATTTCTATAGCATGTAGAAGGTGCTCAAAACACGCTGAAAGATCGAGCAGTTTAGAGTAGTAAGACTTTGCCATTTAACTAGGTGGCACTAGTCAGATCCCCTTACATCGGAGTCACAGCTTTTTCGCCTGTTAAATAAGAGTGTGAAGATTCTCTCGGGTTAAGTTGAAATGAGAAGATGGGAGAGAAGCTTTGAACATGGGGCCTGGTGTTAAGTAGGTGCCAGTTCTTAGTTCACTCGCACTGCCGCCTTTCGCTCGGGTCGGTGTAACAGCCACGCAGCGCTCGCAGAAGCTCGCAGGGTGACAGCCAAGAGCTACCGGGTGCAGAGGTGTGACAGAGACCTCGGGACAGCGACACCGGGAAGGGCGGGGCTCCTTACCTGGTGGGGGCGGGGACAGCTCCTCGAGTGGAGGGGGCGGCAGAAACACCTCGGCGGCGGCGGCGGCGGGTGGAGGAGGTGGAGTTGGGGGAGCCTGTCCCTTGGACTGAGGGACCCCACCGACACCTTCGGCGCTGCTGAAGCCCAGAGAAAGCCGGGTTGGGACACTTTCTGTAAGACGGACCCCAATAGGCCCCGCTCCCCCCATCCGAAACCCTGCTTCCTAACTTCGCCTCTGTGATTCCCCCCAACCTCATGGTCACCGTGATGACGGGCCGGGGACCTTATATCCACAGCCCACCCACCACCCTCTCGGGCTCGATTGTGGGGCTCACCCGGCGGAGGTCAGGGAAGAGGCGGAGGAGGCGGCCGAGAGTTTGCCATCAGGCACCACTGGGAGCTGCACGGGCTCCGGGATCCGGGGTGGTCTCCTGGGGAGGGGGTAGCATAAGGGGGAACATTTCTTGGCCGGCAAGGCTCGGTTCGAGGAGGAGGGGATGCTGACGGAGGGGTGGTTGGACGCCGGGCGTCAAGCACAGCACCAAGAGCAGCGGGGCGCCAGGCGGGGGCGGGGGAGTGGTTTCGGGACCGCGCGCTGCAGCCCGGGGCTGGTTAGGAAGCGATAGGAGCCTCACCCCAGCGTGGTGGAGGCAGGTGTTGCAGGCGCCTTGATGCTCTTTCGAGACAGGGTCCCAGTCCGTGACAGCTGCGTGCTCAGGTCCTGCCAGGAAGGCGGGTAGGGCTGGCATCTGGGGTGTGGGGCCGCAATCCCCATCCTCCTCGCGGAGGAGGGGGGTGGAGGGGCGGACGAGAAGTGGGAGGGAGAGCGGGGCCTCGGCAAGTTCCCTCTTCCACTTCCCAGCTCCTCTCCTGCCCTACCCACATCTCCACTTGCCTCCTGTCATTGCCCGGTCCCCAGGGCCTCAAGTCTGCCACAGGCCCTACTGACCAGCAGTCGGAGTTTCTGACTGACGTCGGAGGGCCACTTCCTCTGCATAGCCACAGTGACTGAGTGGGCCCCTCAGCTTCACCCTTCCCCCAAACCATCCCAGAGCCGGGGGAGCTGGGGTGCCTTGGTGGTTCTTAACTTTGATTAGATCTCAACCCCAACATGAGCTGAGAAGTGGACAGGGCATTCTCAGAAGGGTCTCACCTGTCATTTTCATAGAACTATGGAAGTGACTTCTCAGAGTACAAGACAGAGGAGCAGGACCCGCGACACTTAGAAGGTAGTGTGCAAATGTCAGGGTGTGAACCATTACAAGAGGGCACTTTTGTAATTGGAATTTTGTCAAGAGTGAGCACATGAGGAACTAGGTTCTCTGTTTGCTGTTCTTCACTAGGAATAAGACAAAGGGAACTTGAAGAATAAAGAATAAGTGGAGGGGCTGGGCTGTAACTCAGTGCCCTGGGTTTGATCCCCGGAACCACCAAAATAGAGTGAGGTGGGGCGAGAGAAATTTAGACAACAGAAATAACTTACTGGTGCAGAGAACTGGTGACGGATTCCCCTTTTGGGAGAGCTATATATTAGGGATGTTATGGGGGTCATTTAGACACAGAAAAGCTTGTAATCTAGTCTGGAGTGATGAAGTGTGGAGACAGGAATTGACAAAAGGTGTGTGAGTGTGTGTGTGTGTGTGTGTGTGTGTTCTCCTACCCTTCAGAAAGAGATAAGCTGAAAGGAAAGCACCCCTCTCTTCACCATGTTCCTGCTATGTGGCTGCATCCTGCTCCTTCCCACCACCAGCAGCTCTGGGGTGACTGCTCAGTTCAGTAACCTCAAACCCCCAGACAGAGGAAGTCGCTGTTCTCATGTGGTTGGGGAGCTGTTCTCATGCACACTCTGACACCCTCCCTTCCCCCTCTTCCCCTTCACACACACACACCCAGCACCAACGAGGGGCCAGGCGTGGAGGGAGGTGATCAGGATCTCTCAGCAGATCATCTGAGTACAGGGTAAAGGTCAGTTAGGGAGGAGAGGGTCAAGGGAGAATTACAAGATTTGGGGAAGAGGAGAGGACTCAGGGTGTGGCTGCAGGGAGTGGGGAAAGAGCGATTGCAGGGTAAACCAAGAACATGGACAAGAACTGGGGTCCTAGAGAGAAAGGAGCCTTGAGTCAGGACAGTGCAGGTTGTGGGAAGGGGGGCTCCTTTTCTACCTTGATTCCATGGCCAATGTCATCCAGGCAGCCAAAGTTGAGAGGTCTCCTGCAGTAGGGCGTGAGGGGGGGTAGGCTCTCAGGAGCGATGACTTTCTGGCCAGGGGACAGCCTCTGGACAGTGGCTAAGGTGCCGATCTCCCTTCGGGCCACCTTCTCCATATGCATGTTCACCATCTGCGTGACAGGGTTTGAGGTGACAGTGGGGGGGGGGGCAGTCTGTGTCCAGCATCCTTCACTTTAAGGGAGGAAGAGGCTAGAGACATTGGGGTGGGAGCAGGGAATCCCGAGAGGCACTGAGGCCCGGAGGAAGAGTGAGTTTTGTGCCCAAGGCCACACAGTAATTAGGAAAAGAGTAGCACGGGAGGATGGAGTCACTTTGGAGCAACTTCCTGGTGGAAGAGAATGAGGGTTATTATTAGCTGAGCAGGAAGGGAGGAAGAGAGAAACACAACATCCCTGGGGATGCTGGGAAGGGACTGAAGGACAGGGCTGGCCTCGGAGCACAGGGAGATAATGTGGAATTGGCAGAGAATCCTGGCTGGATAGGCTCTCCTCTTTGGGGACAAATAAGTGAATTAACTTCCCCTTAGAATGTTCCATAGAGAAGCCTACATCTCTGAGAGGGTGGGAACTGTGGTCTGCCAGGCTGAGAGGAAAAGACATACCCCATGCACTGACCATGAGAGGGATGCAAGGCCAGGTCCAAGGTACGACTGGATTTGTGCACAAGCTGTTTGGGACAGTGCCCTTGCTCAAGGTCCCGGGAAGGAAGGAGGAGGGTGTACATGCTAGAAAGGCTTGGGGATTGACAGTGGTGGCAGTGCCTCCAGGGCTAAAGATGACCTTTGCCAAGCAAGCGCTTGAGTCTAGGATATTTATTAAGTTACTGCCTGTATTTAGATAAAAACAGTGTCCATTTGTGTCTCGCCTGTACTGTGATTGGCAGGCATTGCTTTCTGATGTCAAGGGTAGCATCCAGAGAAAGAAAATGCTTTGCCTTCAGGGAATTCAGCAAAGCCCACCACTGTGACCTAGCTAGAGATAAGGAGCCTCCCAAAGCTTAGAAAGTGCCAACCTTCTGCAGTCAAATTGGGCACTGGGACATGAAGGAAGGCAGGAAGGAACTTTTGCTGCAGAAAATGTCTGAGTGGGGCTGAAGAGCCGGGGGTTGATCCGAAATGTCTTCCATACACTTACCTGGCCCAGGGTGCTCACGCGGGCTTCCACCTGTCGCAGGGCAACTCCCTGCAGGTCCAGCATTCGCAGAGTGTGCCCAGCCAGGTTGCCCACCTGGTAGGCCACACTGGCCAGTGCCTGGGTGGTGAAGGCCATGGTCTCCTCTAGTGCTTTCCGCTTGTCTGTGGCCTGAAAAACAGACAGTCCTGGCCTGAGTCCAGCACATTCCATTGGGTCTTTGGTTGGGTGGGATGGAGTGGGAGATGATATAGAGAAGACAGGAGCAGAATTGGGAGAAAGTGGCAACCCTTAGATGTTGAAGTGGCTTCCAGAGGAATGATGTAGGAAGAGGGACTCGGGGCATACCTCCTTGTGGAATGGGTATGGGGGCAGAGAAAGATAGCCTTCCTCCAGTAATCAAGCTGAGGATGGAGCTGAGATGACCCTGCTGCCTCCCTGAGGACTTCAGCGATAAATGTCCCTCAGAGGTTGGGAGGTGAATAGAAAAAAAGAAAAAGGAATGCATACTGGCTGGAGGAGATATCCTTAAATTTAAAAGGCAATCACAGGAAGATTGCAGGTTCCAGGTCAGCCTCAGCAATTTAGTAAAGCCCCAAGCAACTTAGTGAGACCCTGTCTTAAATAAATAAATAAACAAGGGCTGGGGATGTGGCTCAGTGGTTAACTCCCCTGGGTTCAATCCCTTGTACAAAAAAAAAAAAAAAAAAAGCCACCCAACCTCATCCTCCACCCCCTTACCTTTAAACTGAAATTCTCTTAAGAGCAAGACCAAGGAATCTGTACCTGAATCCTCCTCAAGTGGCTCTATGCTCCTTGTTGAGCCCCAGTCTGTGGTTTGGTGCTTGGGAACTCAGGTAAGAAAACTGTAACCCAGAATGGAGTGACCTCATTCATTCATTCATTCATTCCTCTAATAGCTTCCTAATATGCTGAGAATAAAATCCAAACTTCTGACCAAGACCTGTAGACAGCACCTCCAGGTCTGGCTCCTGCCTTTTTCTTCATCCTCTCCTCTACCACTCCCCTTTCTCACTTACTCCCTTGCATCTAGCTCCAGGAACTGGCCACCGGGGTTCTGTTCCTGGACAAGCTAGATCAGTTCTACCTCAGGGCCATTGCATTTTCTGTACTCCTTAGAATCCTTGTTAATTGGTTTCACCTCAGAGACACTTTCTCTCTATTGACTATCACATTTTCCCTGTTCTTCACAGCATTCAGCACTATCAGATATTATTTGTTATGGGGTGTGGTGGAGCACGCCTGTAATCCCAGCAGCTTAGGAGGCTGAGGCAGGGGGATTGAGAGTTCAAAGCAAGCCTCAGAAAAAGCAAGGTGCTTAGCAACTCAGTGAGACCCTGTCTCTAAATAAAATACAAAATAGAACTGGGATGTGGCTCAGTGGTTGAATGCCCCTGAGTTCAATCTGGGTACCTCCCAAATAAATAAATAAATATAATTTGCTTATTTACCTCTATATTATCTATTCCTCTCCCCCAAATGTAAGTGCTATGAGTGTAGGGAGTTTGTCTGGGTCTGGAAGAGTGCCCAACACACAGGAGATATTTAATATGTGTGGTGTTTTATTATTTATTTATTTTTGTACCAGGGATTGAATTCAGGGGCAATTAACCACTGAGCCACATCCACAGCCTTTTTTATATTTTATATAGAGACAGGGTCTTGCTAAGTTGCTTAAGGCCTCACTAAGCCACTGAGGCTGGCTTTGAACTCATGATCCTCCTGCCTCAGCCTCCCAAGCTGCTGGGATTATAGGCATTTGCCATCACACCTGGCAACAGATACTTAATAAATATGCATTTGTAGGAGCCCAAACGCTTGCTGGCCACCTGTCAGACACTGTGTGGGGCACTGTTGAGGGTCACACTGCCAGTCAGTAGAGGAGGGATGAGCAGAAGGTGGCTAAACACAAAAGACATCTTTTGTCAGTCCCAGATCAGGCAGGGGCAAAACTTCTCTGGTCTTTTGCTTCCTCTGGCAACTTCGGCATCTCCCATGGGGTCCTGAGCTTGTTGACTCTACCCTGTACCTTCCCCGGGGGGCAGGGCCCTGCACTGACAGGAAAGGCCACCCTTGGGGTCTCCTTGCTTCAGCTCTCAGATGCTGCTCCGGACCTGTTAGTGGGGAACAGACCTAGACATTTTCAGAGTCCTGAGAGAAACCTGGCTGACTCCCAGAACCTTCTGGGAAGCCCTCATTCTGGTCCTCTCCTCCCTGCCTTTCTGCTCCAACAGCAGGAAAATGATGCTCCTTTGCATGCCAATTTACATCTAATCCACATATGTAACTAAATTTACATCTCATCAGCATATGTCACCAAAAGACTTTGAATAGGCAAAGAAATCAACTCAGGATGTTAAACCAGAAAGGGCAGCAGGTCTTGTTCAAGCTCAAGATCTTCCCTCAGTAAGTGAGGAAACAAGCCCAGAATGAAACTAACTACTCCTGGGTCTCCACCCAAATTTCTTAACTCTTCTTCTGGACAGTTCCCTCCCCAGACTGGCATGTGAAAATGTCAGCCCAAACAGGAAAAGTGTGTGAGCCCAGCTCTGTGTGCCTTAAGCCTGGACACTTTCTGACCCCCAGCTCTGGTCTTAGTCCAAAGTTAGGGCTGGAGGAACAAGGGTCAGGAACCCATCATCAGGGCCTCCAGGTCGTTCACCATGCAAATTACTCTGTTTGTAAAGTCAATCAACCCTGACTGAGAACTCTGCAGTTGACCCCAGTCGGCTTTCTCCCATTTCCCATGAATTTCCTGTCACCATGGTTGGAGTGGGAAGAGAGAGGTTGAGGTGGAGAAGAAGGGGCCAGGAATGAGGCCAGAAAAGGTAACTGGTTGCATCTCTAGTAGTTAGTGCTCTGCATGAAGAAAGCAAGAGTCCAGGGATTCTGAGGGGCCAGGGCTCCCAGTATCTGGAGTGGTTTTTGTTTTGTTTTTGTACCAGGGACTGAACCCAGAAGCACTTAACCACGGAGCCACATCCCCAGCCCTTTTTATTTTTATTTTTATTTTGAGACAGGCTCTCTCTAAATTGCTTAGGGCCTCCCTTAATTGATGAGGCTAGCTTTGAATTTACAATCCTCCTGCCTCAGCCTCCTAAATCACTGGGATTATAGGCATGTGCCACCGTGCCCGGCCTGAAGTGTTTTCGCAAGGGCTGTGTCATCTCAATAGAATGGAGTTTTTTTATTCATGGGTACCTTTCATCCTTCTAAAGGTCAATAATAACAGTGATGAGAATAACTGCTATTTTTCCTGCCCTTCTTAAGCAGTGGGCACTGAGCTAAACGCTCTAATACAGTTAAAAAGTCAAGGTATAAGACTCTGAGGGGGAATTTGCCCCAGGTCCTGTGATTGGCAGGTGGCAGAGGTAGAAATTGGACTCAGGTCTTTGTGACCTCAAATCCTGAGTGTGCCCTGTATGTGCAAACAAGAAAGAACCCATCTGGAAGAACTTCACATGGTGTAGAAGTTATTGAAGAAAATGGAAAGGGATGTTTTTATCCTTGTCCATATAAGCATAGTTTTTAGTGCCAGGAGAACAGAGCTGTTTAGTGATCCATGTTCCATCTCATTACAGGCTGATCAGTCAGCACCTACACAGACTTGGCTTAGAGTATTTTCAGCTCAGGTTTGCTCCGTCCCCACCCCAACTCTCTTATTATGCCAGGAGGCCCTGGGGCAACTAGAAAAGTAAAGTTTTGCCCAAGAGGTAACAGGCATAGCCATTCAGTCTTAAGGTAACAGAGAAAAGCTACCTGTAATCCCAGTGGCTGGGGAGGCGGAGGCAGGAGGATCTTGAGTTCAAAGCCAGCCTCAGCAATTTAGCAAGGCCCTAAGCAACTCAGTGAGACCCTGTCTCTAAATAAAATACAAAATAGGGCTGGGGATGGGGCTCAGTGGTTAAGCACCCCTGGGTTCAATTCCCTGTACAACAACCACCACAAACAAACAAACAAACAAAAAAAGCCATAAAATTAATCAGAGGACATGACAGGGAGGCAGAAGGACGAAGAGGAAAGATATTGGCATGGAAAGTCAGGGAGGCCAGGGCTGATGCTCCGCTCAGCAGTTTCAGAGCTGGTGACCTTGGACAAGTCACCTCACCTCCTCAAGCTGCTGTTTTCAGTTTCGTAAAATAGGAATTTTAATAATTTTCTCCGGAGGCAGTTGTGAGGGTAAATGAAAACACAGAAGTGTTCAGTCATTTGGTTCCTCTGCCCCTCTTCAAGATTCAGGAATCTATTTTGTCTGTCCTGAGACAACCACGCAATTTAAAAAAGACATTTCTACAATGCCACTCTCCTCGCCTTGCCTGGGACCTGCTCCCAGCAGCCATGTCGTAACCCCCTTGGTCTTCATCAGCCCCCTTCTCTTTGGGTGAGCCTGCTCTGACTTTTCTCCACTCTCAAATATCAAGGAACAAATTCCCTTCCCTAGTCTGTCTTAAGTTCACTACAGCGTCCGGGAAGGTCTTCTGACATCTCATCTAGAGCCAGACTGAAATGGAATGTACCAGAAGGAAAGGGTCTTTGGGCCTCTGGAGCAGGGGTTCTGAGAGACATGAGTCTGGGGTCTGGCCCAAGAACAGGACGTCCCAGACCTCTGAGGCTCTCCCAGGAGAAGGGGCCCAGTTGTCACTTGAGTAGCTGAGCTTTGGGGCCTGGGCTGAGGCCAAAGCCTGGAGTGGAAGTCAAGGCCCAGAACAAGCACCTGTCAGATGGCTGCCATGGCCCCTGAAGCTGGGCTGCAAGGGCCCTGAGGGCCCGTCGTCCTGGCCTGTGCCCACTCCACCTACCTGTACATAGTTGTCCTCGCAGTAGTCAGCCACCCGCAGCAAGGCGCTGTGGTTGCCTCTCAGAGCCTCCCGGCCCGTGGGGATCTCAAACTCTTGTAGCTGCTGCAGCTCCGCCATTGCCCCCAGCCTCGGTGGGGCTCCCCAGGGAGCCCGCTGGTTTTGAGCCTCACCCTGCCCTTGATTGGTCGCTCTGTCTGCCCTCCCTCTTACTGCTTTTGGTTTCCTCTGCGTGAGAGACCCAAACCTGCTCGCAAAGGGCAGGCAAGCTCATTCCGGGACAAGAGGAAGTCAGTCCCTGCTCCCTGAGCCTGTGCCTCTCTGTCCCCAGCCCAGAGGAAGGGGGAAGCCAGGGGGGCCTGTTTGGGGGCCCAGCCCCCAATCCCACCCAGAAGAGGAAGCCAAGGTCCAGGAGGCTGTGATTGCTCCCTGGTCCTGGAGAGGAAACTGGTCGGTGGGGGGATGGGGTGGGAGACTGAGGAGGAAGGGGGCTGGTCTGCTATGGGGGTGTGGATTTTCCACTCATGGAAGAGGGGAGGAAAGGGCAGAGGGTGGGGGCTTCCTTGGGAAGCCCTGGGATGAGTCACCAAAGGACAGGGGAGTGGAGGGTGGATACGATATGGAGATCAGTCATACTGGGGGTGGGGTGGGGACTGTGGACAGTGACAATGAATAACAACCCATGCAGCAGCAAGAGAAATCAGGGTTAGACACTAGGAAGACACAGGCAGAAGCTCCTGGAGAAGTGTTACCAAGCCTGCGAAGGGTCAGGTGAGATAAAGTTTTGCTATAGAGACTCTGTGTCTGATGGAGGTTGAACAAGATGAAACTGACTGAGTGTGACATCTGGTGTGAGGGACTCAGAAATCAGACAACAGGAAGGATTTCGATTTGAGACAACACGAAGTTAAAGTTCCAGGTTAACTTGTGGGTTGGGGGCAGTAGTAATGGACAGAGCATGGAGCCTCCCTCTAGAGCCACGGGCTCCATCCAGGTCATGTCTTTACAGGGGAGCTGAGGGCTGGGGATGTAGCTCAGTGGTAGTGTGTTCGCCTACCACATGTGAAGCCCTGGGTTTCATCCCCAACACCACAAAAAAGTAAACAAGAGAGGAGAAGTTGGTGAATTCTGGGATTCTGTCTAATTCTCAGTGTTTGGTGGGGCGTGGTGGCACACGCCTGTAATTCCAGTGATTCAGAGGATTGCAAGTTCAAAGCCAGCCTCAGCAATTTAGCAAGGCCCTAAGCAACATAATGAGATCCTGCCGGGGATGTAGTTCAGTGGTAAAGTGCCCCTTGGTTCAATTCCTAGTACCCCCCCAAAAAAAAAATTCTTAGGGTTCACAACTGCACGTGGGTCTTGGGTCCTGGAGTGGGCATGGACCTGCCCCTCTCACCCCCAGTCTGTCAGCCCCAAGGCAGAGAACAAGAGGAGAATGCATTGGTTCCTTAACACCTTCTCCTTGAGAGAGTCTCTTGCATTTGACAGGTGTCAACCAGCGGCATGTGCTGGGAGGATACCAGGAGAAAGACCAGGATGTGGGCCCCTTATCAAGGACTACAGTAGATAAGGGAGACCCACACCTAGGGCTCAGGCCAGGAAGCAAGGACATGGGCAGTAGGGTGGCCATCGCCCCCAGGCCTAAGCGGCACAGTATTGTAAACGAGAAATTTTTATGGAATGAATGAATGAAGAGCGAGCCAGGAGCCCCTGCAAGGTGAAATTGTGGGGAGTCAAAGGAGGACACAAAGGCTTCCAGATGAGGGGAGTCAGGAGCTGGTCTGGGACTTGTCCCCTGGGCAAGAAGAGCCTGGAAGCAGCTCAGAGGTGGGGGACATCAGGCAGGGGGAGCTAGGGCTGGGGGCAGGGAGCTGGAGTCGGAGAAGGCTGAGGATCACTAGAGGGGTGGGGCTGATGCAGAGTGTCAAGGACAAAGCCCAGAGGCACACACTGAAGGTGGCTTCTGTTCCCTACTCTATGGGCAGAATGTCAGCCTCTCTGCGCTGGTGCAGCAGTCTTAGAGGCTCAGGCGGTGGATGGGCTTAGAACCTGAGCCTATGATCAGCTTAGGCATCAGAGATTTGGGTTTCCAGACCATCTGCTTTATCCAAAGATTTTCAGCTGATGAAGAGCTAGGAGGCTCAAACACCATCTTGTCTGGGTCTTGGAGAAGTGACTTGGGGTGCTCTTCTCGGCAGGTGAGGGGGTTGAGGTCTTACTGGGCGGGGATCTAGACTTAGTATGATCGAGGTTAGGCACCAGGCAGGTCTTTTGGATTACCCTGCAGTGATGATAATAATGACATTGTTATCAGTGATAATAATAAGGAGAAATGTGTTATGTTCATTGTGTGCCAGCCAGTGTGTTAAATATTTTATATGCATTAGTTCCTTCTCCTTCTTCTCCTCTTCCTCCTCCCTTTTTTTTTTTCTTCCTTGAGACTGGATCTCCAGGGATGCTATACCCTGATCCCAGCCCTTTGTATTTTTTATTTTTATTTTTGTGAGACAGGGTCACCCTAAATTGCCAGGGCTAGACACAAACTTGTGATCCTCCTGCCTCAGTTTCCCAAGTCACTGGGATTCAAGGCGTGTGCCACTGTGCCCTTCCATATGCATTATTTTTCTACTTCTCACAACAATCCTGTGAGGTAGGTACTATTATTATAATACCTGTTTCACAGATGGGGAAACTAAGATTCAGGGAGATTGAATGTCTTGCCTTAGGCATGCAGTGAGGAAGCAGCAGAGCTGGGCCCCTGCTCCTAACACTAGGCTGTACTGTCCCCTGCCAGGACTGGAGACAACAAAAAATGTCTACCTGAATCATTTTGTGGAACAGAAGTAGATAGCTTCCCAAATCTTCCTTGCTGAAAGAAACTCATTTTTTCTTCTTTCTCTGTTTTCTTCTTAGACAGGTCCTTATGCAAAAGCAAAGATTGTGCTTCCCCTATCAGACTGAGGGCTTCCTCTCCTCCTGACCCTACACTCATGATTGGGCAGTGGGTAGAGGGATGGAATGAAGACATATCTAACAATGACCTGACCTGAGGGATGCTGCAGGGGAGAGGATAAAAGTTGAGGTATGGAGGGAGTTGGAAGAGCTGATGGGATCCATAATCCTGATTGCTGAACTCTTTCCAGGGCCAGGTCTCTTTAGGGCAAAATGGCGCAAGATCTCAGTGAAAAGGAGCTACTGAAGATGGAAGTGGAACAGCTAAAGAAAGAAGTGAAGAACACAAGAGTTCCGGTGAGCCTCCTCTTCCCTCCCTCCTCTCCTTTTCTCTGTTACTTCCTGTTGTGGATGGATCTGTGATATGAAGGAGGAAGTGACGATAAGGGGATAGTGGGGTCTTTCCTGGGTAGCAAAGGAACCAGGAAGTGCCTCTGGGCTAGGGTAAGATGTGAAAGGAGGCTGGATTTGATCCTTGGGAAAGGTGCCACAGTCCCCTGGGCACAGGAGAAATGACCATGGAGCCCTGTGTGTGTCCAGGTCTGTCTCTAACTGGGCCTGGCCAAGCATCCCAGAAGGTCAAGGCCTCCTACCTACCTGGCCCTTTCACCTTTCTCCTTTTTGGCCTCCATCCCTACCTTGCCCAGAAGCCTGTTTCCCTGGGACTGACCAAGTCACGGATCCTGAGAAATAAACACGGGGTATGATCATATTTTGTGTCCTCACAGATTTCCAAGACAGGAAAAGATATCAAGGATTATGTGGAGGCCCAGGCAGGGAACGACCCTCTTCTCAAAGGCGTCCCTGAGGACAAGAATCCCTTCAGGGAGAAAGGCTCCTGCGCGATAAGCTGATGGCTCTGGGCACCTCCCCCTGCGTGTCTGTCCCTCCTCAGCCAGGACCCAAGTGTTCTGGGAACCCAGAAAACTAGTGATTGTTCACCTTCTCTTGTCACAGACTCAGTAAAGATACTTGAATGAACACGTTGTGAATCTATTCCCTGGCCCCACCTTCCTCCCTGTCCTCCTGCTGGGTCACTGAAGACCCCACTTTCAAAACACCCTGAGCTTTGCCTGAGGAAGTAGTAATGGACAGAGCATGGAGCCTCACCCTGGTCCTGGAGAGGAAACTGGTCGGTGGGGGGATGGGGTGGGAGGCCCAGAGGTCAGTCCTGGGAAGCATTAGCTACTCCCCAAACCCCTCCATGCTTTCCCTTCCCCCTCTTTTAGGGAAAAAGCTTTTCCACATGGTTTGGGTTGGGAGCTGGGATTGGGTGGTCCTTTCCCACATCTCATGTCCTGCCTGTCCTGTGATCCTCTTTCTAGTCATTTAGACCACGCCCCCGCCATGGCCTGATGACACAAAGTTGTTTTTTTTTTTTTTTTCTTTTTGGCACTAGGGATTGAACCCAGGGATGCTTTATCACTGAGCCACATCAGCCCTTTTTATTTTTCATTTTGAGACAGGGTCTCACTAAGTTGCTGAGAGTCTCCGTAATTGTTGAGGCTGGCCTGGAACTTGAGCTCCTCCTGCTTCAGAATCCCAAGTTGCCCAGATTACAGGCGTGTACCACTGTGCCCAGCCGACAAAGAGTTTGTAAAGTTGTGATTTCGTGATTTATTTAAAATTGCTGAGGGTCTTATGTGCTGAGCACTAGGGTTAAAAGTATAAGCAGGACGAATATGGTTCTATCTTCATGGAATTTGGTGGAGAAGACATGAAACAATTTACAATTAAATCAATAAATGCTACAATGGGAAAAGTCAAGGGCAGTGCAGGAACAACAGTAGATGGACACTCAGGGCAATGAACAAGGTCAGCATGGATGACCCTGGAGGGACTACAGAACGAGGTTGGAGAGGGAGATCAGGGTCAAGTCTTGAAGGGCCTTCCTGAGAACTCAGTTAAGAACTTTTTTTTGTGTGTGTGTGTGTGTGTGTGCCAGGAACTGAACTCAAGGGTGTTTAAACTCCTGAGCCACATCCCCAGACCTTTTTATTTTTTACTTTGAGACAGGGTCTTACTAGGTTGCTTATAGCCTTGCTAAGTTGCTGAGGCTGGCTTTGAACCTGTGATCCTCCTGCCTCAGCCACCTGTGAGCAGCTGGAATCACAGACGTGCAGCAGCACCACATCTGGCCAAGAACTTTCTTCTTCATTTGAAGGACAAGAGAAGCAGAGCAAAGTATTTAAGCAACCAAGGGACAGGCTTCATCTATCAGAAGAGGCTGGATCATGCCAAGGGCTGGGGACACATGGTGGGTGAAACTGACTATCTGAAGGGACTACAGACAAGCAGACACCCAGGGAACCGTGTGCATGGAATAGGACACAGCCCTCAGGAGGGCTACCTAATCCAGCTGAATGGGTGTGTTAGATTCTGGCAGGGAGGGCAGGAGAGGCCTCCAGAAGGAAGTGACGGGGGTGGGGGGTTGTAAATGAGTGGCCAGATGGCACTCCAGGCTGAAGGGGCAGTATAAGCACAGGCATCGTTAGGAGAAAAAATATAATTGTGGTTCGAATGGAAACAACAAGCAGGTTGGAGTTGGAATATCAGAAGAGAGGCCCAGATTCTCAGGATATGCTGCTAGAGAGGTGGGGCTGGAGGTGACCAGAGGGGTGTCTCACTTGCTGATCTCAACATCCTTATCTGCTGGGAGTGACTTAGTGGCATCAGAAGGAGATTTGCTCTTGACAGGATAGAAAGGGGAAAGAGGGAGGGGCAGAGAGGCAATTAAGGAGGTGACCATTCCGTCCCGGGAGAGGTGAGAAAGCCTGAATTAGGACAGTGGCCATGTGGCAGGTTGTTGAGTGGTAGGTTGAAGAGTTGGAAATAAAGTTTTCAGATCTCAATGTCTTATCAAGTGGTGAGTTTTCAAGGATGATATCCAAGCCCCTGGCTTGGAGAATTTACTAAATAGGATTGAAAGCAAATGTCTGAAAACAAACCAAATGTACACCATGATCGTAGGTACAGCTGCAGTCTCAGCCTCCCTTCCCCACAGCCTGAAGGCAGAGTAAGGGTAAGTTCAGGTGAGGTTGTGGTCAGAACCCCGTATCTCCACTTCACGATAGCATCCTGGCTCCATCTCGCCACTGTGCAACCCAGAGTGAGTTCAGTCAGCCTCAATATACCCAGTTGAAGAGAAGGAAAAGAAGAGGACTGAGAACAACATTTATTGCAATAATTCTTATCTCAGAAAATGGGAAAGGGAAATACTCCACATGGTTCCATTAAGAAAGGAGAAAGAGGTTGCTCTCTTCCTCTCCTTTTCTTCCCTTTTGGCATCCCCCCAATAAAATCTCTTGGTTGAAAAAAAAAAATAAAGGAGAAAGAGATGGGGCCGGCCTCATGTCGTCATAGGCCACGTGGCTATGCGTCTTTCTGGCTACCTGGCCTGGCCCTTCTCCTTCCTTGAGGCAGAACCTCCTCGAATGGGTGCTTGGTCCCAGAGGTGACTGTAACTTTCTTCCTGAGAGGTTGGAGCCCTCCTGGGACTCCGCACAGAGAAGTGGTTTATTCAGCTTGCTTTCACTCGAAGTGGCCCAGATGATCTCTGGCTCCTGCATCCCTTTCCTGGTCACCCTGAGGTATGGTAACAGCCTGAATCTCAAGACAGGACACTAGCCCAACACTCTGACTCCTTTCCTGTCTTTTTTTTTATTTGTTTGTTTATTTGACATCAAGAGCCTCAAAATGCCAAGTAGAGATCTCAGCCTCCATTTGAAGGAATCACAGTGCTGTGTCTGACAGCAGCATTCCTTCCTGCCAGGCCCACACCTCACAAGGCAGGGTGAGGATGGAAGTGACCATTCTAAGAGTGGGCCATTTTTTTTTTTAGAAGGGGGGGTGCCAGGATCCAGGGGCACTTAACCACTGAGCAACATCCCAGCCCTTTTTATTTTGAAACAGGGTCTTGCTTAGTTACCTAAGGCCTTGCTGAGTTGCTGACTTTGAACTTGCTGGGACTAAAGGCGTGTGCCATCATGCCCAGCAAGAGGGGGGCCATTGTTGTCATCCAAGACATCCATCCCTACCTTGATCCCATAGATCTTAAATTTTTTAGGTGTGAAAGGAAAGCACCGTTTAGGGCTGGAAGTGTAGCTCAGTGGTAGTGCTTGCCTAGTGTGTCCCCAGCACCAGGAAAAAAAAAAAAAAAGGAAAGCAAGCAAGCACTGTGTCATCACTGGTTCAATTCAGAACACATCCAGCAGATTTTCAGACAGCACCTCATCTGTGCACAGCAGGGTTTCCCAGCTGGGCTGGTGGCACCACATTGGGTCTTTTTTGTGGGGGAAACAGGTACCAAGGATTGAGGGGCACTGGACCACTGAGCCACATCCCCAGCCCTATTTTGTATTTTTTTAGAGACGGGGGTCTCACTGAGTTGCTTAGCACTTTGGTTTTTGCTGAGGCTGGCTTTGAACTCCCAATCCTCCTGCCTCAGCCTCCAAGCTGCTGGGATTACAGGCACGCACCACTGTGCCCGGCCACATTGGGTCTTTTCCAGGCCATCCTATCACTCTGTAGGCCACCTGCTTCCAGATACTGGACCCATGATGAGATTAGTGGATGCTTTCAATATCACCTGCTTTCTTTCTTCCTTTCCTTCCTTTTTTTTTCTTCAGTGATTTTATTTTGAAATAATTTTAGATTTACAGAAGAGCTGCAGAGATACCATGGAGAGTTCCCCTATATCCTTCATCTGTTTTCCCTGATGACATAACCATGACACTTTCATTAAAACTAAGAAATTAACACTAATCCAATGCTATTAACTAAGCTCTAGACTTTATTTATACTTCCCCAGCTTCTTCACTAATGTCATATTTTTCCCCCCCCAGGACTCACACTACATCTAGTGCTTTGCTTCTTTTGCTGGGAAGAGATTTTTGGCTAAACACAGCATGGCCCAAGATGCCATGGCCTTTAGAAGGCATTCCATAAATCTGTACATGTTGGTGTTGGCAGGAACATAACACAGAAAATGCAAACCCAATTTCTTTTTTTTTTTTTTTTGGTACCAGGGATTGAATTCAGGGGCACTTAACTACTAAGCCATATCTCAGCCCCCCCCCGCTCCATTTTAAAAAAAAATTTTTTAGCTGTAGATGGACATAATACCTTTTTTTCTTATTTATTTATTTTTATGTGGTGCTGAGGATCAAACCCATTGCCTCACAAGTGCTAGGCAAGTGTTCTGCCACTGAGCCACAACCCCAGCCCATTATCCCAGGACTTCTTATTTTTTATTTTGAGACAGGGTCTCACTAAGTTGCTTAGGGCCTTGCTGAATTGCTGAGGCTGGCTTTGAACTCATGATCCTCCTGCCTCAGCCACCCAAGCTGCTGGGATTACAGGGGTGGGCCACTGTACCCAGTTAAACCCAGTTTTTGAATAAGTGCCTACTCCAATGAGGACAATTCTCTGTTCCTTCCAGGGAATTGGCTGCTTGACCTGAGGTCTGGTACTGTAAAAGGGGCTCATGGCTGTCACCATTGCTGGCTCAATAGGTAGTGGTAGAGCCAGGGTGGCCATAAAGAAGAAAATTCCATACTGTTCTTTCCATGAATAATCTCCTTTTGTGCATCGCTAGCTGTTTAGTTTCATGAGAACTAGCCAGCCCAGTGGTCAGCAGGTCTCTGAGTTAGGAAGAACCTCCTCTGCTGGGTTCTTCTGGGAAACGTCCCCAGTACAAATACTTTCAGTCTCTGGACTCGCCTTAAAGTGAGTTCAGCCTCAATAGCTCTCCACAGGTCTCCTGTCTTCTGTCCTTCAATTATGCTCCAAGACCTTGATCATCTAACCAGAACCTTAGCTGCTTCCCAGGAGTCAGACAGGATGCAATTCTTTTCTCTGCTGACCGCTAGGGCAACTTAGAGAACAGCAGTTTCCCAGAGAAATGGGAAGAATTATGATCCAGCCACTCAGATCAGGAACTGAATTGGGCAGGTAGAGTTAGAATGGAGAGGTGATAACTA